ATCGTTCACCACCTAGGTGTGCAGTCAGGGATGGTCTGTCCTCCGCCTTCATCCACCCGACCTGCGCACACCGCTCGACGCAGTATTTGAGCTGCTTGAACACACGCTTCGGGCACTGTGCACACCGCACGCCCCGCAGTCTCCACATCCTTGAACGCTTGCACACACGTTCTTGGCACTGCCCACAGCCGAGCACCCTCGGCGTCACCACATTTTGAACCTTGCACAGGGCGTTCGCGGACACATGCGCACACCGCACGCCCCGCGTCACCACATTTGAACGCTTGCACAGACGTTCGGCACTGCGCACACCGCACGCCCCGCGTCGCCACATTTGAACGCTTGCACGGGATGTTCGGCACTGCGCACACGGACGCCCCGCGTCACTCCCATTTGAAACGCTTCGACAAGTCGTTCGGCGGCACTGCGCACCACCGGACGCCCCGCTCACCACATCTTGACGCTTGCACAGACGTTCGAGGCACTGCGCACACCGCACGCCCCGCGTCCACCCACTTTAACGCTTGCACAGGGCGTTGGGCACTGCACACACCGCACGCCCCGCGTGACCACATGATTGAACGTTGCACACACGTTCGGGCACTGCGCACACGCGCACGCCCCCGCGTCGCCACATTTGAACGCTTGCACGGATGTATCGCACCCTGCGCACACCGACGCCCCGCCGTTCACTCCATTTAACGCTATCGCGCAGTCGTTCGGGCACTGCGCACACCGGACGCCCCGCAGTCACCACATACTTGAATGCTTCACAGACGAATTCGGGCACTTTGCGCACACCGCCACGCCCCCGCGTCGCACATTGAACCGCTTGCACAGACGTCCGGCACTGCGACACCGCACGCCCCGCGTCACCACATATTAAACGCTTGCCACCACGTCGGCACTGCCACCACCCGCACGCCCCGCGTCACCACCATTTGAACGCTTGCACAGGCGTTCGCGGCACTTCGCACACCCGCACGCCCCGCGTCACCACATTGAACGCTTGCACCACACGGGTTCGGGCACTGCCGCACACCGCACGCCCACCGCTCACCACGATTTGAACGCTTGCACCAGGCGTTCGGCACTGGACACCCGCAGCGCCCCGCTGTCACCACATTTGAACGCTTGGCACACACGTTCGGCGCACTGTCCACAACCGCACGCCCCGCGTCGCCACATTGAACGCTTGCACGGAATGTCGTTCGGCACTGCCAACCGGACGCCCCGCGTCACTCCATCATGAACGCATTCACAGTCGTCGGCACTGCGCACACCGGACGCCCCACGCGTCACCACATTTGAACCGCTTCCACAGACGTTCGGGCACGTGCGGCACACCGCACGCCCCGCGTCGCACATTTGAAACGCTTGCAAGACAGTTCGGCGCACCGCGCACACCGCACCACGCCCCGCGTCACCAAATTATTAAACGCTTGCCACACACGGTTCGGCACTGCGCCACCACCGCACGCCCCGCGTCACCACATTTAAACGCTTGCAAGGCGTCGGCCACTCGCACACCGCACGCCCCGCGTTGCCACATTTTTAACGCTTGCACACACTGTTCGGGCACGCGCAACACTCAGCCCCGCGTCACTCCATTTGAACGCTTCGACCAGCGTTCGGGCACTGCGCACACCGCGACCCCGCGTCACCACATTTACGCTTGCACAGAACGTGTCGCCGCACTGCGCACACCGCACGCCCCGCGTCGCCACATTTAACCGCTTGCACAGACGTCGCACTGCGCACACCGCCCCCGAGTAACAACCATTTAAAACGCTTGCACACACTCGGTGTCCCAGCCGGACCACCTTTGAACGCTCACACCGGCACTCGCACCCGCCAGCCCGCGTCACCACATCTTGAACGCTTGCACAGTAGTCGGGACTTGCGCACACCCCACGCCCCGCGGTCCACCAATATTTGAACGCTTGACAGACGTTCGGCACTCGGGCACTGCGCACACCGCACGCCCCGCGTCACCACATTTGAACGCTTGAACAGACGTTCGGGCACGCCTTCAACACTTTTTTTTTACTTATTTAATAGCGCTTTTCAACTACGAAGGTCATGTAGCCACCACTGTAAGTAATGTTGGGGGAAATTGTAAGGGTATACGGGCACGTTCGTAGACTTCCGCGGCCGGAGTCAGTGCATTCTTGGCTATCCGGGATTAGCCGCGTCTCGGTTAATTGTATTGACGTTTCGGCCATCTTGCTGTGGCCTAATTCAGAGCTATACAGCTCTGCATGAGCTCTGAAGAAGGCCATAGCAAGATGGCCGAAACATCAGTTCAACTGGCCGAGTCAAGGCTCATCCCGGATAGCCAAGAATGCGTATACGGGCACATACAAATATCCATGCCCCGGGCAGGATTCGAACCCGCAAACTTTCATGCCCGAGGCAGCTACGGTTCTTGGCCACTTCAGCTGTCCACGCCGGCGCCTTCAATATTTGAACTTGAATAAATATGCCAATAATGTATACAACAACAAACAGATAGCGGCCTGAACGTGTTCAGGCTGGTATATATTTATTAATTTATACATTATTGACATCTTTACCATTTATTTGTTACTTAAGGTCGCATCAACTTCTAGGTCATTAGCGACCACTATTGCTTGTAACGGTATGGTAACTGTAAAGATGGCACGATATGACGATGATAAGGTGTGAAATGGCAAACACAATACAACTATACCCGAGGCTGGACTCGAACCCGCGATCCTTCTGTCAGAGATCTCTAGGGCACTACTGCCATAGCGATCTCGGCCTTCCGGACCGACATCTTTACCATTATTAAAGAACTAGAAGGAAGTTTAAGACTTCAGTTAATTACTTCTATAATCACAAAAATATTAAAAATTTGTCCCTTATAGGGCAATTGGTCTCGGCGATTTTAGATCCCGGGGTTCCAAACCGGTCACCCAACCAGGAACACGCAATTTCTCGAATTCGTTTAGTCTTCGTGACTTCACGTAGTTAACGCATTCGGTCAATAACAGCGATTTCCCACATTCACCTGGATGAACGAGAGAAACCACGAAAACTCCGGTCACGAATGGTCGGGTCGGGGATTGCACTCGGGCCTCGCAAATGAGAAGCCAGTGCGCTACGACCTGAGCCACTTCGTTTAGTCACATGAAAGTAATTGCATTTATATGTTTCTAATGTAGTCGAGTGTTAAAAGGTATTACACGTCGTCATTTATAATAATGCATTACAATCTTCTAGAAACCCATTGTAATGAAGCATAGTTAAACTATTCAGTGTTATGCGTTTCTAATTTAACAGGTAATAGAAACTCATTTCAATAAAAGTGAACATTCGAAAATTTGTAGTTCGTGAATAGCTTATTTTATTGTTGCAGCAAAATGAACGCATTTGCTAGAAAGTATTACCTTCTTTTACTTCTCAATTAAACAGTAATATGACTAGATTTGAACGCCATTGTTCCAATTGATTGCGGGAGAACAACAAAATGAAATCACATTAGCATGCAATAAACACAACCGTTCTCCACAGCGCCGTGTAACGACCACTCCCGTCACTTTATTCTGTAATGATATTGGGGAACTGCGCGCTACATACATCTCTTTCGTATGCGTTTTCGACTGACGCATCAGAGTTGAGGGCGAGCTGGGCGCGATCTGACCGGCTGGTCGCGAAATGGCGCAGCAGTGATCACTTGGCCTCACGTAATTGAAAATGGATACACGGGGCGGCCAGCACTCGCATTGTCGAGTTTATTCGTTAAACCGGATGAAACAATTTTGCCAAGTCAAATGCATTCGCAAATATCGGAGGCAACTGCAATATGAGGCACGGTGTGGAAACATCTCTTATGGATCTGACAAGGCATTTTAGGTGTGGTCGTAATTTGTTGTTGGCTGTTATGAATTGTAATTAAATCGCAGCGTCGAAACTTCCTTGTTTCAGTCATACTTACGTTTTGGTATTTTTCAATGTAATTTCGGAAATTGTGAATACTTGTACTCTGAAGTATACAACTTGTGATAAAATTGTGTTAGTACTAAAAAAATTATAATAAGTGATCTAAAAGGCTATGACCAAAAACATTCTGAGGAAGTTGTAAAATGCCTGTTGGCTGTATCCCATGAGTATTTAATTAAGATCATGAGCAGTTTCTAAACGAGACGAAAAGCTACAGAACGGATATTTTGCTCAAAAATCTTAGAATGCAGTTGAGTTCTAAGAAAATTCTCCCATTTGATGCTGATAAATATTACTTTTACTTTTTCGCCTTTTCACCTTTACGCCTTTTTTTGTAAGAAGAGAAAGTTATGTAATCGAGCGCCGGAAAACGGCAAATTTGGGGCGGAAAATCTCTAATTTAAAATTGATCTAAGACGAAGAATTCAGACTAACTCAAACTGAGCTATCATTTTTTCTTAGTGCTTGACCTGGCGAAATCCGACTGAAGCACGATTGGTCTATTATATGTTGGCTTTAAATAAATAATAACCACGATGGCAAAGTAATTCGTGCTAGTGTGTATGGAATGGGAAGATGCACTATGGAATGCACCAGTCGCTCCAGTCGACGGTCCAACCAGCATTGTTTGGACGCACATCAATCGGAGGGGCTAGAGTTTATGACTGTCGAGGGCAATTTTCCTTTGTGGAGAAAGGGCTCGCCTCTAAGGATACGCGTTGGAAGACTTTCAGGGCAGCGAAATTGTCAAGAGGCCACAGTATGACGGAAAATGTAAAGAAGTCATACTTCTCTCCTAAACAGAGAGCTCCACGGATGACTGGATATATCGCGATTTTTCGAAAGAAACCCAGGACTCTCAACC